AAAAAAAAAAAAAAATATCATTTTTACTTCATTTTTCTTTTAGCTGAATAGATACCATAGTTATTTTCCTCCTTGCTCGATGACGGCAATACGTGTCCAATTCAACCATAATTGATAATAATAATAATAATAATATTCAGCTTTTATATAGCGCTTAATACATCTCGCACGTCTCTAAGCGCTTTACATATAAACTATTACCCCGGCCATTGGATTCAGTGCCTGCCCGCATACACTGTGTGCACAATCTCCACTCCCTGGGGAGCATTCCAGCCAGGCGTTACTTGACGCTCAAAAACTGTTTGACCAACAATGACGGTCGCATCCTACCGGGTACCCATTTTAACACCTGGGTGGAGAGTAGCAAGTCTAAGTTGATATCTTACCAAAGGATATTAGTGCCGTGTCGGGATGCGAACCCTCGACCTTCGCATATCCAGCCAAATGGGTCATTATTGCATATTTTACTATTTATTATGTTAAAGAGAATAAAAACAGACCTCATCAATACGTACACATATATGAATGATTATTTTATAACTCCAGCACAAAAATAATTTACCGGCCCAAACAAGGAATTAAGAGGGCATTCCAAAAGAAGTATATCAAAGACATTCCAGAACACAACTGGATGACCACTTTTATTCCAATAGAGTGGTCCAACCATGGTATAATCTACCAGACAGAGTTGTGTCTCACCTACAGTGGTGACTTTAAAGAGCCATTTGAGAGCCTATCCCTTTGAAATAGAGGGCTTATCCACCAAGAATACCCAGCAAGTAAGTATTCACGATAGCAAATACTTTCAAAAAGTCGACCTAGAGCAATTGTAATAACCTTGTCAGGCACATATTGAAATGTGCAAACATGACAATGACATTTTACGAAATCCGGACATGATTTTTTTTTATGGGAAATACAATAGGGAATCGCTCTTGAGTTGATTTTTCGAAAATAGTTGTGTTTGACATTTTAGCTGTTGTATATTGTTCTTTAACTATCTTCTTACTATTAGCTATGCAACTGTATTTCTTTGCAGGTTCCTGGTTTGGAGTCAGGGGCATGCGTTGCATTATGATATTCGGCATTGCCAGAAACAAAAGAAGGTTGGTGTGGAAGGAAATGATACCCTTTTGGCAAGTCCACAGGTCTCCACGGACAACACAACGTGGACCATTACAACCAAATCCGGAAAGTATTACGCATACCTACTTAAACATTCAAAAATCTTATACTTCTAATACCTTCTGTAGGAAGAACTTTCTTTATTTATTATACCCTCTACAAAAAGTTATATTTCATTCAAACCTACAATCATGATAGAACTTAAATATCTTTAGTAAGGGATTTGCCGCCAACAGCAAGTAAGGGATTTATACGGAATAAAATGGTTTGACTCTTCTTGTTTTCTTTTGCGTTTTGTTGAAGAAATGAATATTGAAGGAACGCTTTAAGTCTCGTTCATTTACGTAGCAGGTGTATAAAAAATGTACACCGAACTTTGGTAAACTCAAGAATAGGCTCATTAACAAGCCAAATTTATGATAATCTCTTTGTTACGATGACTTGAATTCGCTCACACCCTTTGTGTGCAGGCCTCGTCATCGAGTCAGTCAAAATGGACAAAGTTTACTTGCGATACTATATTCTTTTATGAAAGTCTACTGTCAATACCTTTGATATAGTTATCGAGAAGTTTTTTCCTCTTCTTGCATTTAATAAATGTTTGAGGTATTAAGCAAACGTCTGAGTTTTCAAGTGATTTTTTTTAGACAAATGCCTAACACGCCTCACGCACATTTTGCATGTGAAATGGTGCAATGGACATGTGAGCAGAGAGATTTTAGATATCATAAGACAATAATAATAATAATAATAATAATAATAATAATAATAATAATAATAATAATAATAATAATAATAATAATAATAATAACATAATAGCGCAAAGTTTCTAAGCGCTTAACAAAAATAAAATAAAAGTAATGTTAACCTACAAAATACAACAATATAATACATGACACATAATTATAATAACAAATTCCTAATAACAATCATACAATAATAATATTTAATATTTACATAACGCTTTATAGTTTAACAAACAAAATATGATTACATACATTACATGTTGAACAGATAAGTCTTAAGTTTGACCTTGAATGTTTCTAACGTTGGGGACTCGCGTATTTCATGGGGAAGACAAGAAGTTGGTAGGCTATTTAGATAATTAAGGCTATCATATGGATTGACATATGGATTGAAGCACGAAGCAGAATTTAAGATTTGAAAGAATTTAAGACCAAAGTAGCACGGCCTGACCCACATTCGGTTCAGTAGTCCAAACTTGGTACACGGATAGTTTGATACTTTACAAAAAACCTAGTGCTCAGTCATCCGACACAGAAAGATTGTGAATAGGGTATCATTAGACAGAACAAGTTAATCTTTTATACCATGAAAGACATTTCAAGTCAGATCGATTATTTTTTAATCTTTAGATAACAGAGTTGGGTATACTTTTATTTGTATACTCACTGTATAATGACCTAGGAATAATGCACTACACAATTCAGTGTCTTATAACTCACGGTCTGCGCGGATGCTTTATTTCGTCGGCACCCGCCATTCATTGAAAGTAAACAAAGAAAACATTTTAGTAACAAATGAATATAAGCTATGGTAATCCTAGAATTCATTCTCTATGAATTTTCTAACTTAACCTTTCGTAGTTATAAAAACAATGTGTTTTTAAGTTTCTCTTTATAATTACACCAACAAAAAAGAACTTTTAACCGAAAATTAAACTCGTTTGGCTTTAGAAATCTTACAGTTTAAAACGGAAAAAGAGTATTGTACGGGTTTTCTACTCATTTAGTACTGAAACATGAAGCTCCCTTTACACATGGCAAGTCATCCTATCCAACAAATAACGCCAAAGTAAAATAAAAACTGTTTAACATGTAAACGAATGGCGGGAGGGGCAGAAACATAAGTAACGGCACGCTACTTCATATATGTTCAGAGGAGACCTTTATTAGTAGTGTATGTGTCAGATTTACGGTTGCAATTTATGTAAGATTCAGGCCTTATTTTTCATAAAAGAGTAAAAGGTACAGTAACCACGGAGGTCATGAAATAATAAGTTATATTGCTTCAATATGTTTTTGTGCAGGGACTTTTTAAAAGACTTGCCCCTAATTGACTTTAAAATTTCTCATATTTATGAGAAACGTTCCGAAACATTGAAAAATATAATCATTATTATTATACTTATTATAACTATCATTGCTTTTATTAGTGAGACTGCAAACATGAAAATAATAACAATAATAACCTAGGTTTCTATAGCGCATTTCACCTTCGAAGAAAATACCAATGCGCTTTACAATATTAATACAACAAAATTACATATAACTACTAATTCATGAACTAAAGAAATATCAAAATAAGGACAAGATTAATAATAATCAATCATTATAAACATCAATTACAGAGAAAATGCAATAAAGGCAAATTATGTAAAAGTACAGTAATGTGATTAAATTGATGAATACAATAATACAGTTTAAATGACATTAGAAAGCGTTTTTAGACAAGTAGGTTTTCAGTTGAGATTGAAAGAAAGTTAAGTCTGTGATGGTTCGGAAGGTAGTGGGGAGAGAGTTCCAGAGATGCGAAGCTGCAGATGAGAATCTTCTGGATCCGTATGACTTGGTCCTGTCTTTCGTGGATTCAATGAGGTGTTGAGATGCAGATGCACTTCCCTGCCATTGTTGTAAATTATGATGAGTATCCCAACTAAAGTCGTCTTGGACAGCATGAACTAGCACCTCCCGGACAACTACCCCATAAAAAATCCCGCTAGGACAATTCCCTCACAACTACTACTACGACAATCCCGACAGTGAACTCCTGGAAAATACACCTCAGGTTATTAGACTTGTTTACTAATGTTTTAAATCAAAGCATTTTTCTCCCAAAACCCCTGTTCAATAAATTATTCACCTACTATACATAATGGCATCTCTGTAGTATATAGTTGGAATCCACTTTGCATATATTAACTATTGCTATGTCCAGCAAGGCTCTGTCAAGCTTTTGACTTTATATAAGGAGAATCTTTTCTTCAAAAAGTATGCCTAATTTACTTAACAGGTGTATCAACACCTACTTAGCTTTCCGAGATTAAATGTGGTTACGGGGACAGACAATTCATTTAGAAGTTATTGCGTTGGGGGAGGGGGGAGGGGGTTGAGGAAGAGGGGGTTTGTCCTTGTGGTAGTTGTCCGGTAGATAATTGTCAGCGTAATTGTCACTGCAAAAAATTAAAAAACATTGACAATCAAAGGATTTTTATACAACAAACTGAATTCACAACAGTGGAAACGAAGATAGACAAACGCAAGGAAAGAGGACCTGTGTTGGCAGGGAGATAGTGACATACAGGAGAGAGAGAGAGAGAGAGAGAGAGAGAGAGAGAGAGAGAGAGAGAGAGAGAGAGAGAGAGAACAAAACAAACAAAAACAAATAATATCCCTATTATATTGAATTCTAGCCGTACTAACCTAATTCAAGAGAAAGACCTCTGAACTAATGAAATTGTATGTAATGAATATACTTTTTGCAGAACCAATATCATTGTGGTTTGTATCCGTTAATTTTAAAAGCAAAACACAATACACAAACACACTTTTAAAATATTTTTCACTACCTTATGATTGAAATCAACCGCAAAACAAGGCATGATTCGCTACCTCTCTCTCCTCTCTATTGTTCTCCTCTCCCTCTTTATTCTCTCTATCTGTTGAGTCTTTCTTTCCATCGTTCGCTCCACTTGTGTCTTCAAGCGCGAGCATCCACAATTCGAGGCGCGCTATTGGGCGATCAGACAATGACGTAGTCCGGCTCTCCGAACGCTGTCCTGCACTCATTCAACCAATCAGCGCTGGCGATAATTCGCGCGGCGCCACGCGAACCACCTGTATAACAGGACGCCACCACGCCGGGATCTCGTTAGTCGACCGAACAAAACTCCACCGGGGTTTCGCAAGTCCTCCTCTCTCCCCCATCTTCTCCGTCAATTCCAAACCAACGTCTGATTCATTCCGACATCCAGAAACTAGTCAGGTTGTTCATATGACAGAGAAATATTGACAGACGACGGCCAGACGGCTACGGTTTTCGGGTACGACACATTTTTCTTCATCGTGTTATGGTCGAGTTGTTTCACTCGTATGAATATTTGTTGTACGGCCGTAAAGGGAAAGATAATTGTTAACGGTGGCGTTTGTGGCGAGGTACCATCACGCTCCATCGGGCCACTATCCCCAGGAGTTGTCTCCAGGTATATTTGACAGGATGGAGCGAACTCTAGCCCATGTTCCTTCCATGGAGCTATCCACAGAAGCTCTGCTTGTCACCGGTGGATTGGATAATACGAACAAGATGATCACATCATCAGCAGTCAGGAGTGAGTATTGGATAGGGAAAATAGACTTTCATTAATCAAGTAATGCTCGTATTGAGAGCCTCTAAAGGTAATCATCTATTCACATAGAAATCATACATTTGAGAGCTTGAAAACAGAGTTAATTTTCTATATCTGTGAATTATTTCTGAGACTCGTCAAATCTGCATGGTATGAAAGTCTATTGTTGCATCATTACGGTTTCAAAATAGGCCTAAAGCAAGCATGTTGAAGTGATTTTTACTATACAAATGTGAACTGGTATTCAAATAACTATTGGTATTCAAGATGTATTCATGATTTCATACCCAATGAAATTAAATGTTAATGATAGACATGACCTTGACACATTTTTGCTATCTTGGTCTCTGCAACGTTTCAATGTTGTTATAAATATGCATTTACATTGCTCATTATTCTCCTTTTCTGTGTGAGTTGACGAGGGTCACGAAGTGATTAAAACAACAGATTTACTGTAATCGATCGTCTGATGTTGTGCTGATAGTTAATAATGCATCATGGTGTATTTTGTAGGGAAGTAAACTGACTTAAATAGTACGATCATTTAACCGCCCTACATAACAGTGGTACTTTTTTCGACATGATTTCAAAGAAGCAATCCTATATGCACATTACAATTTGCCATTATATATTTTTGAATAGCACCGAGTTCTTAGCTTGTTAAGACAGCAGTGTAAAGCTATCTTCTGAATGCTATCCTTTTTTAACAATTATGAAAATGTGCCATTTTCGCAGTGTTATGCATACGTCTTTGTGAAGTGCCTCGGTTCGAATTCTTGAATTCAACCTCTTACGAATAGCTGTATATCAATAGTCAGAATGCGAATTACATTCATTATTTGATGCTAGGTAGGGCAAATAAGTTACGTACACTTGTATTGATTATTGACTGAAATAGCATTTTATTGAAAAGTTGTATGCCCCCTTCTTGAGTCTCGAAAGTAATGCTCCCTCTGCATTAAATATTATCATTTCTTGTGTGATGAAACAGAAAATAAACTTCTAGACATGTCCTAAAGATTTAGCACCTCAGACTGCTTTTTATCTACCCCATAACCTTAACACAATAGTATTAGTTGTCATATGTTTAACAATTCTGATATCACACCGAAGTCATAGTTTGTTTTAATCATGTTAATTAGATCAAAAGGGCATAAGGGCATCTCAAGTGAATAAAGCATAAAAAGAATTGAGTTTGAAATATCCAGCCAAACTTTAGAAGGACGGAATATTGTGAGAAAGAAAGAGCATTGTGTAACAAAGAGTCATTATAGGCCGTCTTGAAGTCTTGAAACCTTCTTTGAATATAAAGAAGGCTTAATAAAGACTTCCCAGGCTGATTTGTACTTAGCATAATTATTAGTGCTAATCCATGGTTATTTGCGTTGGCAATTATCTATAATAATTTATGTTTATCTTAAGATTAAATGACGGAGTTAAATAGCAAATAACATTGGGGCATCCAATTACTTTTACCCTTAAAATTGTTACTGTTCTATTGTTACTTTTAGAGAATTATTGACGAAAATTGGTTGGTAGTATTTGTTATAACTTTTTTTTTTAATTGACAATAGTTGTAAATGAAGTATTGAGCCGTTATGAGATCAGCATGTTATCAACCCTGTCCTTTTTACAAATAGGTTTCTTCAGGAAAGTTCTTATCGATTCTATAAAATCACACATGCATAAACCCGTTATGGTTTTATGTAAATACATACATAAAAGGTATATGTCTCTAATATATAGATAGCCCTCTCTAGGCCGAATTATGTTTAATCGTATACACGACACCTAAACAAATTGGCTATCAATTACTGCCCCTTTCAAGCAGGTAAAATACCTTAATGACAGAGCCTCGATTGTTTTCTTTCGGAATATCAATGCATTCGTTGCTTTCGTATTATTACAAAGCAAACACTTAACAATGATTGCGTCCTTTACATGTTACGTGAACGTCCACTAATGGTCGATTAGAAGATTTACCTTAATTGCACTCGTAATTAATTAATAATGCCGCCACATAACTTTATTATTGTATTGTCTACATTACGTGATTTAAGATATTGATGTCAAGAGGATATTTCTTGCATATCAAACTATCTCCTTCTTTCCTGATTTGTTTTTGTTCTGGACCGCTTCTCATCATGCTCATCTCTCAAACGGTCTCACCAGGTCAATTAAACAAAATTATTGTCTTGTCTCAAAGAACCTCGCTTTTAAGAAAAGACTTTAGAATACACCCAGCTTTTTATGACGTAATAAAGGGCAAAAATTGTCCTTTGTCAAATGAAATCCCATTGGACCGGCTATGGTATATCCGAACGTTCACTCTACATGCATACCAGTTGTGACCGAAAAGAAAGAAAGATGGCTAATGTGATTTGGATCCGACATGAATAATTTATTCGGATTGATCGGATTTACGGTCTGTTGATTTAAACTTGATATGAAATGATTGGTGTATCCTTCGCTACTACACGTGCATATTTAGGGAGGGGGGGGGGGGGGGGCTTTGTAAATGCCTCGTACCATGTGACTTATCGTGGTCCAGAATATTTTTTGTAAAGCTATCGATGCAATGGAAACCAAGACAGACTAGAAGAATAAGAAAGTAAAAATAAGTTGTATTCTTATTTTAAGGTGCGTGCCTGTGTATCATATTAAAAGTATTGTGACGGTCGATATACAGTGTAGTTTAGAAGTTTCTACTTGAGTTTCATCTTTAAATAATCGTCTATATATTCGAATATCACAGCTTCCTCCTTTTCCCTCTATATCATTGCTATAAAAAAATAATAAAATATTCAGTTATAGGATAAGGGCACTTCCCTTTGTCATGTTTCCCTTCTCCTGTTTTATCCTTTGATCCCTTCTCTGTTTTCCACCCTCTCTCTCTTTTCTGTCTCTCTTGTTCTCTTTGTAGCTGTACTTTCTAATTTCCCTTCTCAAGCACCAATATCTCCCGTTACTATTCACTCTTTTTACAATTAATCGTCTTTTTAGTTTAACAGAAAGAATTATATAAACTTTCATCTTTCCCTTTTCTTTAAATCTTTATTTTCTTTATTTCATTACAGCTATGTGTCTATTGTTGTCCTTCTCTCTTTCTCTCTCTCTCTCTCTCTCTAACTCTTTATCAATGTATCACGCTGTCCCCTTTTTTCTATATCTACGTCTCTCTCTCTGTCTTGGTGTCTCTATCTCCCTGTACTGTATGTCTCTCTCTTTCTCTCTATCTTTGTCTCTTCTGTCTGTCTGTCTCTGTCTTCTCCTTTCTTTGTCTACAAACTACAGTGTTTAAACTTAGCTTTATCTCTTCTATTCTATTTCCCCTTTTATTACCCCGAATATAATTTCGTCTAGAATCAAATATCCAGGATACTGACTGATTTGAGTTAGCCACCAAATCCAACGGTTTGCATGGAGACGGCGATTTCTAATATCCGACCTGTCAAATAATGATTGAGGACCAACCGATTCACTAAACTTCATATACGAGAAAAGTATATCAAAACAAATATTGGGGTACAGGGGGGGGGGGGCACATGTTCTGAAGCATACCAATCTTCGACCATCTCACATGCTTATCCAAAGTTTTGTGTTCATTGGTATTATTTTTTTATTCATAATTATGTGTGTAACTTAATCTCTACAAATACGATTAACGATTTAATAATTTGTATCATTGTAATCCTTTGCTACCCTGCTGTGAAATCACTTGAAGTGAAGCTATTCATTTGGCGTTTCTGGTGTCATAGGAGCGGTGTATTCTTTTTTAGATTTCTCTTGGTGCATAATTCATAACTTAAATTTATATTATAGAAGACTATTTTGACTAATGGAGATTTTAGTGTCAACTCGGCCAAACGATCGTGGATTCAATGCTGTTAAATTTATGTAATTTTGTCATGATTTTTATAATTTCCGATTTAAACAATGACTGCTTTAGTATACCTATTCCATACGAGCAGAGAAGGGCTGCTTTGTGACAATAACACAATGGCGTAGTTTCCATTGTATCACTATGTAGTCTGTGAAGTGTAACATGATAACCAATCACAATACGATATGCTTTTATCAATAGTTTTGTTTTCCCATAATATATCATTCTCCTACGTTTTTCTTTGCAGATGATGACGGTACAATGATCAGTCAACACAGTGAGAAGGTTTCCTACGGAACCAGCGGGGCACCGGATGGTTCCACGCCGCCAGTGTCGGCAGGCGGCGACGGCAGAGAAGGCAACGGCATCGGAATCGGCGGCGGTGGTGGTGGCGGTGGAGGTGGCATGGTCGGAGACGGGACCGGCCATTCCGTTGGGTCTTCGGGCAGCGGAAACGATGACGATAAACCGGCCAAGCAGAAACGCCATCGTACTCGATTCACACCGGCCCAACTGAACGAACTGGAGAGAAACTTTGCCAAGACACACTATCCTGATATCTTCATGCGGGAGGAGATTGCGATGCGGGTCGGACTTACTGAATCTCGAGTTCAGGTAAATAGTATTCAGGTAAATAGTATTCCTGAAATTAAATTACGCCGACTATAATACCATTATGTCATCTTTTTACTTCTCTTGTTCCTTTATGGTCGTTTGTGCCAGGTTTTAATGTATCAATGCTCAAACTGTCTCTTGCTCTTCCTCTTTACTCCTCTATTTGAAATATAACTGGTCATTTATTTTTTAGTATCTTCATGAAGCAATTTCTCCTTTTCTTATTTTTATTTTAGTTTGAACGTTTCTTCAAATCTCCTCTATGTTATTTTTAGCGCCAAGTTAAAAACATACCTCCGTTGAGTAGTTGAGGGTTGACGATTTGTGAACAAAGACTCATTCACAATTAACCAAAATAATGATTTTTAAATTCAAATTACATCTCGGTTAATAGGTTTATTAAATCTACTCCAAGTTAGGGAGATTATTTAATCTGTATAAAACGCTTTCCCCGAATTCATAGATTTATAAGGAATTAGTCTTGTTAAGCAGTTACGGTCAAGATAAACACACACAATTTAAAAAAAAAAAATAGGAGAAAAGATACGTGAAAAGCAACATGTGAAAAACAAGGGTCGTAAATCTGGATGATTACATTCGTGTGATATCTATATTAATAACCTGTCTAGTGAAGCTATCATATAGCTCCTACGGCAGCTGCGTAAGCAACAGAGCAAGAAATAGAGCTCAACTATACGCTCAATTTCCTCCCGCCTCAGCAGCAGGCCGCACGAGGTGCGCCAGTCATCATCAGCAACCACTGCCCCCAATCCCCCCGAGAGCAATGGAGGGGATCCGCTTGCAATGGTCTGTTGAACAGGCTTACAGCTATTATAGTGTTTAGTTTCCCCCTCCTCCTCCCTAAGATGGGAAATCAAGATTGTCAAAAATCGTGTGGAATGAATACATCATTAGCTTCTTGAGATGCGATCTCGAGATTAGAATGATAGCCGAAACATATTTGTACTCTAAATTTGATCTGTTTGTTTTCCCTCGACAATATTTTTTTTTCATCGCGGGGACTGAAAATGATGCAGGCTTCGTCTGTAGCGGGTACATAATAAGAGTATTGTATGCTAATCTGCGATATGTGCCGTAGACGGGATTATATATTTCATTACATTTCATTAACTCACTAATGTTTTTTTCGTGCTAAAATTTCAAAACTATTTATTACAAAAAAATGATAAAAAAAGATCGAGTATCAACATCTTTGCTCGAAACGTCTTCAAAGGTTTTTATAGTGGAGAAAATCACTCCCATATTATTTAATTAACACTTTACTTTAGTATCATGACTAAAATGAAATTATTCCTAGATATAATCCATCAAAAAGACTTGATATCAATGAAATATATCATAATATAACACAAAAGAGTAGATATAAGATACGGGTATTATATACACATTACACATTTTTAAGGAATAGTATCAAAGTAAAATTGTTTGGTTGGAACATCTTTATAGATAGTAACTAGATTCTTATCATATTTGAAATTACGATTTTATGTCATCTAGTGATCATTTTTCTTTAACAAATGATGTGTTTGAACCTTGGTATACGGTCTTGCAATAGCTATTTCTATACCTCTCATGTTTTACTTCTATTAGAACTCTTAGTGATCTCCATTTCAATTTTGCAAATGTCTGAGACATTATTGATGGAGAAAGGACCATAGAAATATATATGAATGGATACAAACAAATCATCATATTCCAACAATAGAATTTTTAACGAAATTGTTCGACCTCTATTTTTTTTCCAGGTCGGAATCTATATTTGGTCAAAATCTGATTTTGTAAGACGCCAGAATAATTTTTCATGGATATTTTATTTGTGAAATGAAATCTTGCTCACGGCTCTTCCAAAGTAAAGAATGAAGGAAGAGGAAGAAAATGGTGAAATTGATTGGACGGTCTTTGATGGGATGGTCTTTCGCCAGGGCATTCCCCTTTAATAAAAAAAAAAAAAGAACAATTTCCAGTCGAAGGCAGCTGGTCTTTTTATGAATGAATTCCGATATGGGGAAGATCATATTCAAAATTAGTACGGCCGAGCGACTTTATTCCGCCAAGGAACTATTGAATTATAACTAACGAGTAAATTACTGAGTAAATCTGCGTAATGAATTGATTAAATTTGTAGTAGTAAATCCAGAATGGAAATGCTCGTACAATAGTTTTAAATGACATTGATGAGTCATCTTAGAAAGCCAGCGGGGGTGATTATCTGTTCTCTATCTATTGTGGGCTATATTGTTCCAAGACATTTACTATGTGTAGGCCATATATCATTGCATGCAGGCTTGGACGGAATGGGAAAAACGCAACGTTGAAAAGTTCATAATTATAAATATAAACATGTCTTTCATAACCATGATCTAACAATGTAAAGCAAACTAGACTGCATCTTAAACATCATATTCTAAATATGTATCAACTAAAATAAAGATTAATTTCCTTCTAAGATATTTTTTTAAAGGTTATAGCTGTCCGCGGAAACGATACTTCTTTTAACATATATATATATATCAGTATAATAATTATATATAATAAAGTAGGCCTATACCATATCACTTTTGTATATGGGAGTATGTAAAAAACCTATGTATTATGAAAGACATTACCACATGCATGATGTAGAGGAATCTGATTTATGAGCAGGAAGGTAGCCTACGGGTTTTCATCAATCGTTATGGTCGAGTTTACGTAAAAACTGAAGAAATTTAACAAATTTTAAAGTATTCATACACAGAAAGCTCGGACATCTTTACCGCATACTTAATTTCTTTATAGCCACGAATGTTAGTATTTTAAGACTACCACGCATCAACAGCACCAAATTTAAGAGAGAGAGAGAGAGTGAGAGCGAGAGGGGGGGGGGGGGAGGGAGGGGTGCGCCTTTAACCTATGAGCTAACAAAGAATCTGCTATTACGGTATATTGTTCATCTTCCTTTTGTTTTCAGCCTTACCGTGTCTGATTAGACGGTACCCTGGTGTCCCGGGATAGAAAAAAAAAACAAGAGAGAGAGAGAGAGAGAGAGAGAGAGAGAGAGAGAGAGAGATTCACTCTTCATGCTCTTTATCTCCTCGCTCCCCCAAAAGACCGGAAATTAATTTGCGTTTAATTAAAAGCGAATCGTGGTATTGAAACACGTACTTTAAATTAAACCTACCTGACTTCAGTGGTTGCCATTTTGTTTCTCTGCTTGCCTTGTCCCGTGATTTATAATTAGACGCTTTTATTTTCTATAAGCGTGCATCGAGAGACTTAAGTCGGCTTTCAAGGGTGATCTCGGTTATACGCCATTGAGACTAAATACGTCACGCAAAGATTAGAGTGGGATTTTCTTAACCCATTGTGGGTAAAATCGTGTGTTTTAGGGCGATGAATTATGCGGAACTCCATTAAAATGTCAAAGCAGCTTGAATATACTATTCACGCGAGCTGGCCCCGTGAATATACAGTTCTGAAAAACAATAAAACTATCGTAACGTAAGAATTGACATTGGCAGCTAAATGATGGTAGTTAAAGTATATTGGCTAAAGATTGTTGAAGCTGAAAATTTGTCTCCTCCAAATTTGTCCCCAATGTTGAGATTGTAAGACCGTGGAAAACGAATCCGTTCTCTTTGTCAATGTCTTAAATTAAACTTGAAGTCCTATTAACAACAGACCCACATACGACTATTCTAGTATATCTTATATCATGTATAATATTAATGCTGCAGATAAAAATATGAGAACGGCAGCTAAAAGGAGACCCATTTTTATATTTTAGTACTACCACATAGTATGTACACAAAACTCAATGGATCACTTTCTAGTAAAGATTTTAAATTATTTAGTTTGACCAAAACTTAATAACTTGTTTGGTCAGTAAAGGTAGCTCGCTACGTTCTCCCTGATCGGAATACTCGCAAGCGTTTTTGTTTTAAATAATCTCTACGTAATCGCTCGATACTCTCGCTTGCATCTCTGTAGACTTCTTCGTAATGACTTTATCTGGTCCCGCCTCCTGAGGAAAACAATTGGTTTATTCAAATGTGATTATAACTAATTTCAAAAGTTATTAGAGAGCTTTATATTCCTCTATCAGAAGTGAATGTATGTGTCTTTTATCAAAAAGATAACCAAGTTGCAATCTGTTTCAAGGTGATTGAGTGAAAGAGTTGAATTAAAGAAACACAGATTGGATGTTGGGTTTGTCTGAATAATTCAACTTAAAAACAACTCTAGCATCCTCAGAAAATAATCTGGAAAAAAAGAAAAAATTACTTAATTTATTTAGAAAGTGTGTAGCAGCTACATATCATTATAGGCCTACTCCCCATTCTCATTTTCTAGACTCCTTACAATGTTCTTTCCCCTTTTCATACTTTATCTTTCATCTTGAAATATGTAAATGGTTATAGGGGCTAATGTTTATTTCATCCAATGTTGTAGTTGTAATAATAAATGGGGGAAATATTTCTTTCAATTAGAATATCTGAATGATTTAGGGGTATTGACTCTTAGACATAAAGAAGGAAAAAATATTTCAAGATCCTATATCCGAATGATGTTGACAGAAAGTGTTGGCGCAAACTTCAGGAGAAGATATTTCAAGATTAATGTAACAACACTTTCAGGTATCGAGAAAAAAGGTCTTCAAGTAAAACAGAAAATAAGAAAGCAAACTAGATGCACGCGAAATATAAAGATTGTATAAATTATCTTGCAGAGTGTTTTCACCTTCTTTGTAAATTAGTAAATAACATGTTAAGGTTTGTTTAAGGTTCTTGACATAATTTTGACCATGACATTAGTCTATTAAAATCAAAAGAGAATCGTTGACAAAGTATAGGCATGCAATATGTTTCCCCAAACTTCATCATTTTACGTCATATGTCTATGTCCATAACCTCATAATATCATGTTTAATCATTCCAATATTTATTTCATTAATATGTCATAAACATATTAAAGAAAAACACCCCGAGGGGGCTTATAGATTATTGAAAAATTGTAAC